GTGGTAATTGCCGAGGTTGGCGCGTTGCATGGAGGAGGAATGAGCGCAAGATGATGATGAGGACGAGGATGAGCAGGAGGACGAGCAGGAGGTGGAGGAGGAGGAGGAGGAAAAAGAGGAGGAACGGGAGAGAAGGAGCATGACGACGAGGGGAGGGGGGGGGGGGCGAGCCTCACCACGAGGAAGAGGGTGGGGCCGAGGTGCTTCTCGTCTGCCTCGCGTGTGCGGCGCCAGGCGGGCGACGGGCCCTGCCTTCCACCCGCGGGCCTGCACGCGTGGCTCCGAGCAGCCGCGGGCGGCGGTGCGTCCGGCAAGGGTTCAGGAGGGGAACAAAAGCACACAGGCACGATTCATCGGCGATTCCCATGAAAATATGGGAAAATATGGGAAGTGGGGGGGAAGACAGAAACCCAGAAGATATTGGAACATATAGGGGATTTGTTTTATTTGTGTGTATGTATTTGTGTGTCCTGGGGCCCCTTCAAAGGTGGCTTTGGAGAACTTCGCGCGGGGAAGTTTCGTGGGCTCCCCCCTCCGCTCGCCCGCGGGTCCTCTTGAGCAGATTGGCGAGCTCTGTCCTGCGGACTTCGTTCTTGCCGAGACACCGAGGACAGGAGGAGGAGGAGGAGGAGGCGGAGGAGGACGACGAGGAGGAGGAGGAGCATGGGGCAGGAGGGGACGCGGGGGGGCGGGGCATCCGAGACGGGATCCTGCTGCCGCACCCTCGCTCGCGCTCGCACGTGCGAGAGAGCCGGGTGACAGGGGCGATCTCTGGGCCCGGACTTCGCAGCACGCACGAGGGCCTGAGGGTCTATAGGCCTCCCAGATGGAGCCCGAGCAGATGGTGTCGGATGATCATGCTGCATCGCCGATGTTTCGTCCATGCATCCGCGACGTTAGCGATGCATCGGCGACGTCGGCGTGCAGGAAGTCGGGCTCCACATCAGGGCGCATCGCCGATGCACCGCCGATGCGGCGCGATGCTCCGACCCCATCTATGTGGACCCCATCTAGTCACCCGGGTAAACCCAAACCCAGGGTCAGTCGGGATTTGCATGATCCTGCAAGATCTTGCAGGATCCTACACCCAAGCCCGGGTCAGTGCACCCTTGGCTCTGCAGGGTTCTGCAAGATCAGGCGCTCGTACGGACCCCCTTTTGCATTGACCCCCGTCTTTTGAGCTCCGATCTAGTAGGCCTCTACTGAGGGAAAAGGGCGTTCCAGGACGGAGAAAGGATCTCAGCACGAAAACGAAGGAGGAGGGTCGAGGACGCAGGAGGGTCGAGGAGAGGAGGCGCGAAGGTCGAGGGCGCATGGGGGTCGCGGAGAGAGCGCACGAGGGTCTGAGTCGGAGGAGCGCGTTGTAGGAAGAGGGTCGAGGACGCACGAGCTTAGCTGCTCAAAACGACCGTGTCAATACGTTGCGTTTTGTCTCAACGTATTGGCCCACGTTTTGGCGAATGCATCGCGCCAGACCCACGTTTCCAGTCTACGTGTTGAGCTCTTCGTCAACACGCTACGTATTGCGTGTTGCGTACCGGGGCAGCTAAGTCGAGGACGCACGAGGGCTTGAGGGGAGGGCACTACAACGAAGGAGGCCGAGGACGATGGGGACAAGCAACACGGGACAGCACAAACATTTGCAACAGTTCAAGGAGGGCGGGTCGTTTTCAAAATGTGGCTCTCGCCGTCGCACCGCGCGCTTACAGTTCAACAGTTGCAACAGTTTCAAGGATGGAGGGCGGTTCCTTTCCAGAATGTGGTTTTCGCTTTAGCGCCGCGCACACGCCCGAGAAACGATGTTCTGATTGTCAGGACGCCACAGCCACATTGATTCGCGACGCAGACGTCACAGAATCTGCGTTCTGGGAAAGATTGAGGATGCCAGGACTCAACAATCATGATTATTCGTGGCGCTGAAGTCCCAGGAATGATGTCTCGATCGGGGATTCTCGAACGGTTTGTCTTCCATTGAGCCACTTCCCGCAATGAACATAAGTTCTGGTAATAGCATACGAAGAAGGAATTTGGAGGGAGGGTTTTTCCAGCATCGCTGATGCGTGTTGGGTTCACACTGGGCATCCTCGCCACTCCCCTCTCCTCGCCCCCCTCGCCCCCCCCCCCCGCGAGGAGCTCTCGCAGGAGCTGGCGAGCTTTCAGGACGCCGACCCCGGTTGCTCCCGACCTTCCTCGCCAGACGCCCTGCGCGACTAGCGCCGTTCTCGGGGAATGCCCCGATTTCCAGCTCCTCGTGCCACGCCTGTCGCCCGCGCAGCAGGCGAAGGCGGAAGAGGTTCAGCGGGAGATTATGATAGCAGGAGCAGGGATGCACGCAGGAGGATAAAAGGCAATTGCAGGATGAGGAGGAGAAGGATGGGAAGGAGGAGGATACAGTTTTGGATGACGACATGGTATAGGGCTATTGGGCTATAGGGATATGGGGCTGTAGGGCTATAGGGCTATAGGGCTATAAGGCTATAGGCCTACAGGTCTATTAGGGCTATAGCGCTACAGGGCTATAGGGCTATATAGAGCTACCGGGCACCTGGGCACCCGGGCACCTGGGCACCCAGGCACCCGGGCACACGGGCACACGGGCACCCAGACACCCGGGCAACCGGGCACCCAGGCATCCGGGCACCTGGGCACCCAGGCTCCCCCGGGCACCCGGGCACCCGGGCGTGCGTCGAAAATCGGCGGCAAACCTAACCTAATCATACAAATCCGCTAGGACCGAGGCAAGCTCTGTTTGGGGAAATATACTACGACGACTACTACTACTACTACTACTACTACTACTACGACTACTACTACTACGACTACTACTACGACGACTACTACTACTACTACTACTACTACTTACTACTACTACTACTACTACTTTACTACTACTTACTACTACTACTACGACTACTACTACCACTACTTACTACTACTCTTACTACTACACTACTACTACTACTACTACTACTTACTACTACTACTACTACTACTACTACTACTACTACTACTACTACTACTACTACTACTACTACTACTACTACTACTACTACTACTACTACTACTACTACTACTACTACTACTACTACTACTACTACGACTACTACTACCACTACTACTACTACTACTACACTACTACTTACTACTACTACTACTAATATACTACTACTACTACTACTACTACTACGACTACGACTATTACTATTACTATTACTATTACTATTAATATTACTACTACTACTACTACTACTACTACTACTACTACTACTACTACTACTACTACTACTACTTCTTCTACTACTACTACTACTACTACTACTACTACTACTACTTCTATTACTACCACAACTACTACTGCTGCTGCTGCTGCTGCTGCTACTACTACTACTACTACTACTACTACGACGACGACGACGACGACGACGACGACGACGACGACGACGACGACGACGACGACGACGACTACGGCGACGACGACGACGACTACTACTACTACCCCCTCTTCCCTGGCCTATCACCCCCCTCCCACTGCTCATTCCGACTCCCCCGATGCGCGTCCATCCGATTTCGCTGGTCTCCAATTCCGATGCGTTTCGACTTCGAAGTCCGATCTTGATGCCGAGTTCTCAACGGAGGCCTACAAGCCTGCCGATTTGTGCCGATTCGACTTCTTCCGACTTGGCTGCCGATTTCTGCCGATCCGATTCATTTCGGTCGCCGATCCGACCTGTCGATTCGATTCTGGGCTCTCCTGCCCCCCACCCCCCCTCTTGTCTTCAGCCTCTCCCTCCCCCTCCATCTCTCCCCCCTCGCCCCCGGCTCCCGTGCCCCCCCAGTCCCCCTTCCTCCGCTTCCTCGGTGCCTCCCCTCTCTACCGCCCCGTCCTGCCCCCTCTCACCTCGGCGCTCTCCCGTTCCTCCCCCTCCTGCCAAGCCCCTGCATCGCTGCAGCGGACCGGGGTGTGCATGCACCACCAGCGGCCCAAGAGCTCTGGCTCTGCCGCGGGCGCCCTTCCCTCGCCTTCCTCCTCCCGCTCCCCTGCTCCTCCTCCTCCCCCGCCCCCTGCTTCTCAGAGGAGGAACAGGTACCCACACTGCTACGCTTTCTTAATTTTTCCATGTTTCGGCCTCCGGGGAGGCCTTCGTCGCCACCGCTGGATTCGCATCGAATTTCTCGTCAGAACGCACCTCGGGAGAGGTCCGGAGGGTAGCGGTATCGGTATTTTCTGGTCTCTTCCTCCCTCCCCCTGTTCCTCCTCCCCCCCGCTCTCCTTGCCTCAAACTTCCAAGCGGTTCAGACAAGAGCTCAAGGGGTGTATGCCAACTTGCTTGCTTACTCGCACACGCCTGTGGGCCGTTCGGGAGTGTAGATAAAAAGGGGCTCCTCCCCATGCTCCTCATTCTCTCCCGACTCCTGCGTTTTTTAACCGGCAGAGGCAGGCGGCAGGCGGTCTCCGCCACCTGGCGCAAGGCCCCCAGCTGGGGGGGGTCGGATTTCTGGCAGCAGTCAGTCGGCCCGAGCTCGACGTTCGCTGTCACAGCGCATTCGCCTAATCACTGGCGGGATTTGCCCCACACGTTTGGTGAGAAAGCACACCGCTTTCACGCAGCAGGTTTCTCGCTCGTGCCGCCACTCGCAGGCGTCGTCCTCATGCTGCTTAACCTAGCCTTCGGCGTGTAGCGGCATCCACTTTTGAGCGACAGTTGTGGTAGTTTGTTATCCGCTCCCATCCTCTCCCCCCAAGCAAGCATCAACAACAAGACGAGGAGCAGCGAAGCCGGGGCGGCGGCGCCTCTGAGGGCGCAGCCGCTGCTGAAACCCGAGGAGGGGATCCACAGTCACCGCCACTCCTGTGGCTGCCACTGGGATCTTCTCCCACGCGAGCTCATCCTCTGCCGCCTCCTCCCCCCCTGGCCCCCCCCTCGCACATCCACTCGTGTGGTTGCCTCTGGGCTCTTCCCCCGCGATTGCTCATGCCCCTCCCTCTCCTCCACCGGCCCCTCTCTCCCGTCTCTCCCCCTCCTCTCCTCCCCCCCCCCTCCCTCGCCTTCTGATTTCTCCCCCCTCCTCCACGCCGGCCGG